TTTTGGATGATATTGAGTTAGAGACTTAGCTACTTTAAGATTCTGTACTTCAGATTATTTGTTAATGGAATAAAGTTTAATCCAATTACGAAAAGATTACTTGCGCAATCCTTGTTTGATGTTCGGGGGATTGGATGGCTGAATGGTTAGCACGTGCGCGCTGTACCATAAAGTCTGTCATTGAGTCAACTGGCGTAGTTTCGAATCCCCGGTTGTACGTGGCAAGGAGTAGGGTCGCCTGTCCAACCTCGTGGGTTTGGCCCGGGTCCTCCGGTTTCCCCCCACCTCGAGGGTTTTCTCCGGGTCCTCCGGTTTTCTCCCACTGCTAAAGACCACTACGCGCAAGCGAATTATTGAAATAAAATTAAACCATATGTTAGTCCCGAAATGGCCTACTTTGTGTCGAGTGGACGTTAAACCCCATTTCTCTCTCTCCCTCTCTTGTTTGATGTTCACAGTTAAATCGTCAGGTTACTTTCAAAGTTTTTCGTGTTTTGGTTTTTTTTTTTATTTTTCAAGGATGGTGTTTACTATACTTTAAAGTGTCACTCGCACTTTTTCGATTAATTTTTTCGTTTTGACTTAACGGCGTATGTAATTAGATTATGTATACAAGCGTATTGTTGATATGGTGCACGTTCTTTAGAATTTTTTGTAAGAAAAAATAAATCTTTGCTCTGACTTGTCCCATGTTTGAGATATCGATCATTATGCGATTCAAAGTTTATTTTAAATACAATATTATGTAAGGGATCTAAAATAAGTTTTTTTTAACAGAGTCGAATGGATTCGACTATTCCTACCTGACTATTTCAATATGTTCTTTCGGTTAAATAAAGTAATGGTAACACTAGATACGAGATGGTGTATTGTATATTGCGAACTAGATATAACTACCATGAAGTCAAGATATTTATTTATTTATCTGTTTATTAGTTTATGTATTTATATTTCAGTTTTATTTTACGACTCAGGTAACTAAATTAATAGCAAATCAAAAAGCTCTATATAAGATGTAGATCAAGAAGAACATGACATGTGTTAAAAAGATACATGTTAAAAATAATCTCCACAGATTTTAATCAAAATGATATAAATATCATCAACACGATGGAATTTGATAAGCTCAATAAAGTTATATAACTCTAGCATTAATACTGACTGAGATATGACCATTTGAATCGGGGTACCTTTTCGCAAGTTTTAAAACTACAATTACATGACTCGATTTTTGTGTTCTGATTTTATTCCTTCAGGTCAATCTATATTCTTGAAATTGTGGTGTTTGTAAGAGAATGTTATATAGGTTAAGAACATGTACCGTCAACTGTGTATGGAGTGTCTTATTTGCCAAAAGTTGATACCTTTGCCAAAAAAATCAATATTTCGATACAGTGTAGAAATTTGACTACACTATATTAGAAGTTCTTACTTATCACATGTATAATGTATCAATGTGTATTGTTTTAACAAACATTATTAAAACCCATAACTTTGGCAGTTTCTTGTAAAATTAGCTTTGAATATCGACTAACACAGGAAATTTGCTAAAATCACACTTTTTCAAACACTAACCGTGTATAGAAACCTTGCACTAAAAATTATGAAACTTCGGGAAAATGTTGCCTGTACTCGTATCTATCAATGATGAAAGGCCCATCCTTGATATTTTACTCCTTCATTTTCATTCAATTAGATCAGTAAATTTTGATTATTTTTATCTTTTGCCGATTTGAATGGATTGATTATAATAATTCTAATTTGAAAACTGTTTCTGTAGACAGATCGAGCTGTACAAGTCACGTTTATGTTTATAACACTTATCTACTATAGTATTTCACCAGTTATTCCCATTCTTCTCTTGTTTATTATTTTATTTATCACAACCATCATACGTAGCCTACTTACAGCATCAACATAAGTAATGACATTACCTTACATACAAATAACGCCCATTGTATATTTCAGAAAGAAGCCGGTCATGGGTTACAATATTATAGTACGATATACGGATCATTTTGATTATGGAACATCGTTCAAAAGCACACAGCAAGTCCATACACACATAGAACCATTCGTTGGTGACAACTTGTTGAGCAAATCAAGCACACAACAAATATATTTTGTCCACGATTTTTCTCGATACGAGAATTCCATTTCTTTAAGCGTTTTCTTTTTCAACAGGTTGTTTACACACAGCTAATTATTATGACATCCATCAGAGTGGAAATATATGTAGTAACCCAGATGGGGGTCACGGTGGCTAAGTGGGTAAGACGCTGGTTCGCTGCATTGGCCGAGAAAGTTCATCCAGATTTTCCGGCGTGCTTCCCCCTTGTCAGTGATTCAGAACGGAGGGCATGACAAGGACAGCTTTCTAGTCGTTCGGATGGTACGAAACACCGAGGTCCCGTGTACACATTGGAGTGCACGTAAAAGATCCCTTGACAGTTGGGACCAGTCCGCTGTCCGGGCAAATTTTTCTCATAGTACACTGTGTGGCGTATGCCCGTCTTCATTAGCCCAGTTCAGAGTAGGACGTTAAACTCTATTTCATTTTATTTCATTTCAGCAGCCCACATGGTTTATCTACACGGTCATTCCATGTCAAGTGGACCAGTGCTTGTAAAGTGACCCCCTCAAAAAATTATGAAAAATATATATGTTATAGTACATACAAATATATTTAAAACTGAAAAGTTATATGACTTTAGCATTAATATTGACTGAGATATAACCATTTGAATCAGGGTACCCTTATTGAAACTACAATTACAGGACTCGAATTTTATGATCTAATTTTATTCAATGACTCAATATCAAAAACAATTAAAGTATTGGAAGTGATATCCTTTCAAATGGACGAAAAATGTAAATATATTAACATGTTCAAAATCTTGAATTTTCCATGTTATAGAGTAATAAATTAATGGTACCCCTCAGGTCTGATATTGATGCATAATTGTTAAGTACGAACAAAATGTTCTCTTGGAACATACTGTTTCATGATGGCCAGGCAATTAGAAGTATTATAATCAATCCATTCAAATCGGCAAAAAAATGAAGAAAAAAATCAAAATTTACTGATCTAATTGAATGAAAATAAAGGAGTAAAATATCAAGGATAGGCCTTTCATCATTGATAGATAACCCGATTAGATTTTATTACATACTTCGAGAAGGTATTTGTTGAGTAATAAAACCTTCTAGTAGTTAATCGGGTGGATAGATACGGTTTCATAATTTTTAGTGGAAGGCTCCTTCCTATACACGGTTAGTGTTTGAAAAAGTGTGATTTTAGAAAATTTCCTGTGTTAGTCGATATTCAAAGCTAATTTTACAAGAAACTGCCAAAGTTATAGGTTTTAATGTTTGTTAAAACAATACACATTGATACATTATACATGTGATAAGTAAGAACTTCTAATATAGTAAAATTTCTACACTGTATCGAAATATTGATTTTTTGGCAAAGGTATCAACTTTTGGCAAATAAGACACTCCACAGACAGTTGACGGTACATGTTCTTAACCTATATAACATTCTCTACCAAAATTTCAAGAATATAGATTGACTAGAAGAAATAAACTCAGATCACAAAAATCAAGTCCTGTAATTGTAGTTTCAAAACTTGCGAAAAGGTACCCCGATTCAAATGGTCATATCTCAGTCAGTATTAATGATAGAGTTATATAACTTTATTGAGCTTATCAAATTCCATCGTGTTGATGGTATTTATATCATTTTGATTAAAATCTGTGGAGAAGTCATGTTCTTCCTGATCTACATCTTATATAGCTTTTTGATTTGCTATTAATTAAGTTACCGGAGTCGTAAAATAAAACCGAAATATAAATACATAAACTAATAAAGAGATAAATAAATAAATATCTTGACTTTATGGTAGTTATATCTAGTTCGCAATATACAATACACCATCTCGTATCTAGTGTTACCATTACTTTATTTAACCCGTCTTCATTAGCCCAGTTTAGGAGCAGTAGTACGTTAAACCCCATCTCATTCCATTTCTCTTTATTTAACCGAAAGAACACATTGGAATAGTCATGTCGGAATAGTCGAATCCATTCGACTCTGTTAAAAAAAAACTTATTTTAGACCCCTTACATTATATCGTATTTAAAATAAACTTTGAATTGTATAATGATCAATATCTCAAGCACGGGCCCAGCCAGAGCAAAGATTATTTCTTATAAAAACTTATTCTAGATCCCTTAAATAATATAGTATTTAAAATAAACTTTGAATCGCATAATGATCGATATCTCAAACATTGGACAAGTCAGAGCAAACATTTGTTTTCTTACAAATAATTCTAAAGAACGTGCACCATATCAGCAGTACGCTTGTATACATAATCTGATTACATACACCGTTAAATCAAAAAAATTCCACTAGAAAACTAAAGAAATTAATCGCCAAAGTGCAAATGACACTTTAAAATATAGTAAACACCATGCTTGAAAAATAAAATTTGAAAGTAACCTGACGATTTAACTGTGAACATCAAACATCTTTTCGTAAGTGGATTAAACTTTATTCCGTTCACAAATAATCTGAAGTACAGAGTTTTAATTGACTTTAACGAATATGATTCCATCTGATAATAATCAACAGGTCCGTAGTAATATAAACCAAAAGGTTGGTCAACACGTATAGCACAGTTCAGATATCAGATGTGGAATAATAAGACGACATCACAGGTATATAAGATGGACTATTGATTAAAATAGTTATAAACGTGTCGTCGGCATTTTATATGAGCGGAACGTAGATCATAATAAAGAGCGCGTAGGTTATGCATGTGACCCGGTGTATCCTGTTGACACAACGTCGGTATCAATGAATATCAGTAACCAATGCTAAAAAAAACACGTCTATATTTTGGCTGTAAGTACTGCCTCATTTACGATAAAACTGACTAGTTATTCGAGGTTACTGTGTGAAAATCGTTCACGCGTATCGTTATTTTTGTATGTAATAATTAGTGCATAGAGAGAAGGTAGAGATGTGGTATATATGGTTTATATCTACACGTATATATACATCAACAAGTCATATGAATGTATTAGTGTACATATGATGTACATTTCGTTGACAGGCAGATATCATAAGGGAATATATTCACTTTATATTTAGTAGCAGCGTGTTTCAAGTACGACTCAATAGCGGCCAACTTTCTATTGATTTTTGTCAACTTGATTTCCTAGCCTAGCTGGATATACGTATAGAATTTATGTACGATTCTGCTCCAGTTGGACTACACACTCAAATCAACACAACGGCAACGATGTAATGCTTTAAAAAATTGCATGGCGCTCAGGTGAAGAAGAAACCATTCATTTCGACATATATATTACAAGGCTTTACAAGGTTGTTGTGTTCTCCACTGAGAGTTAATAATTTGTCGAGTCAGTTACACACCGTTGGAGCTTCGTGGTTCTAGAGGTTATTTCACTGTGAAGTTCGTATAGTAATGCATCTATAAGATGGAACAAGTTTATAATGGGCGTGGGTATTTAGCACCCAATGTATTTGATTCGAACTTCTTGTAAAGGATAGTTTTGTAAAATTTGTTGTTAGACACACAGCGAGTGAATAGTGTGATGTAGCCATAATTACATTAAGGATTGGAGTAACCCTCTCTGTATTTTTATTGGATTTTCGAATTTTCTAATCGATAGTGACAGCTCTAGAAAAATATTTTAAGAAGAAAGTGAATGATACTATAATTATCCTGGTTTGTGGTTAACTCGTAAATAGGCCTATATTGTCAATAGCACGTGTTATAGAGAGATTTCTTAACCTTTTGTTATGTAAATGAATTATTGTATGGCAGTGTTTAATAGTATACCAGCAAATAACATGAAGATAGGAATTACCACGACCGAGGCCAATATCCTAGCGTGTTCTCACTCGGTACATGTGATCCCTGATCTCGAGAGGCTTGTTTGGCATAATATGATCCTTGCATCCAATTTAATTACCAATTATAGTGTTTTTAATTAAGATTAATTCGATTCCATCGGACTGATGATTGCTCGCCTAGCATTCCCCTTAGGGATTCTTTTTATTCTTATCTGTTTCCAAGATGCCTCCTCTCGTTTTACAGATTGTGGGGGTTGGCTAGAGAAGGATAAGGGGGTAATCCATACCCCCAACTTCCCCGCAAGGTTCCCTACGCCCATTAAGTGTGACTGGGTGATTCACAATCCCGACCCCGAGAAAAAAATCATCACCTACTTCACTCAATATTTTTTGAAGAATTCTTTCCATTTGTCCGAATACGATGAGTATAAAAACGAACACGACTATAAAGGAGTCCAATATCTCGGCGAAATAAACTATGAAAATGAGTATACATCTCTTGCTACCTACAAACCATACCTAGTTATTCGATTTAAGGTGCACGAAATTGGAAAAATGCATTTACGTGTCGAGGAGTTTTTGAAGGATGTTTACGGATTTAACATAACCTATGAAATTGTAGACAACAGTCAAGATATACGAGAAACGTGCTCCGCACATGACTGTTCATTTCTAGGTCATTGTGTGGCCAGTTCTAACTATGAAAATTATCGTTGTGAATGTTTTCCAAAATTTTTTGGGGAGTATTGTCAATACGGACCTTTCTGCGATCCAGATAAAGGGAAGAATATGTGTGAAAATAATGGGAAATGCAGGTAAGACAGACATTTGTACTTTTAATAACAACGTAACACAATGAAATGTTTTGATATGCGGTTCATTGTGTTTCTGATATTTACGTTAATGTCGTCTATAATCGTATTCAAAGATTTACATTTATTGAAGAAACTATTGACGTATTAAAGACTTAAAGATACATTATGGGAGATTAGATAAAGAGCTGGCAGTTCTCATTATAATAGTTAAAAACTAGATAATGTAAAGGGAATTTGCTGAAAATTTCAGTCAAATTGATCCACTCTGAACCGTTATTTTAGCGATCATCATTACTAAAGTCGGTACGATAAAAACCAGTCTCGATTATCCATTTCATGATTAAATCATGAATGGAAGTCGAACAGCAACTCGGAACCTAATCAAATAAACATGGCAGGCTAGCGATGACACCGGGAGTTGATTATAGTCTGGATAAGTTAATTAATGTCTAATTAATAATTTAGATAACATTTCAGGCCCAAAGAAAGACCTGCAATAGGCAGATTTAGCTCTTGCATAATGTATGTTTAATCTAATTACCCACAGTATATTTTTTAAAAAAAAGTCTTTACAGAATTCCTGGTATTAAAAGGTGGCCGAATTACTATTAATGGAAAAATAATAGACCAATTCTAGTGTAATACTATTGTTATATGACTATAAAGCCCCAACATGTCAATGGAAAATTTCTGGATTTAAAGGGTGGCAGAAATTTTATTAATGGATAAAAAAATGGACAAATTCTAATGTAATATATTGTTATATGACTATAAAGCCACCAAAGATCAATAGATAATTTCTGGATTTAAATTTAATAAAAATGGTGGCCAAAAGATGTTCTCTGGGTAGTAATTTAGACAATTAGATTTGTTAAAAACCAGGTCAGATGCCACGTCACCCCGTTTTTCATGGATAAACTAAGTTTTAATTTGATCTTTGATTGTCGATTCTAAGAAGATAAACCAAAACCCAATAAGTTGGCTTAGCATTATCATGTTTCTTTTGTACAAACAGGACTTTAATTTTGACGTATATTTTCCATATCTGGGCAATAGTTTATTTATAATTATACGCTTTAGATGTTTTATTTACAATTATGCCTCCCATTTCATTATAAATAATGTAACAAAAATTGTGATTAAAGTCGTTTCAGGTGTTATACACCTTGCTACTTTCAATTACACTTTCTCTTTTTCATTAAAGGGACATGGGATATTAGATAAACAGTTGACAGTTCTCGCTATGATAGTTAAAGAATAAATAACGTGAAAGAGAATATGCTGAAAATTTCAGTCAAATTGCTTCACTCCGAATCGAGATATTAGCGATTGAATTTTAGGCCTAGCGATGGCATCGAGAGTTGATTATGGTCCGGATAAGTTAATTAATGTCTAATTAATAATTTAGATAACATTCCAGGCCTAAAGAAAGACCTGTAATAGACAGATTTGTCTCTTGCATGATATATGTTTAATTAATGTAACAAACATTGGTTTTAAAAGTAGTTTCAGGTGTTATAGACAATGAATCTTATTCAAATTTACATGTTATCCTATCAACCAACCAATCAATTTATTCACCTTCAGTGTGAAATATCCCTTAGTTTAATATATCCGTTTGCGTAAAGTTTAGGCTATTCAGCCCCCGTCCCGTGTAGGTGTTTGCTCAGACAATTGATTGAAAAATAGAATGAGAGAAGACAAACATGTCTAAAGCAAATTTAATTTCTTTTTTTTTGAAAATCGGTATTTGAACAAACTTAAATACTTATAGGTTCGGGAGTTGGGGATTTGGCCTTTATGGACCTAGAATGCATTACATGACTGCAGATTTCTGAATAAGATTGCTGATGCAGCGATATTATCACATAAACTATCTGCCTTTAATGTGCAGAAACTGTTAACTCGGTTTTTTTTTGTGATTTTGTCGAATGACTATTGACGTTCAAGCGTACACAAAGGGTTAAGATAGAGGTGATGCAAGATGAAACATGCAATTTTCTATGGAGGAAGGTTATAGATAAGGCTAAAGAGATAATAACGTTTAATGTGTTGATTTCCACTGCGCCACAGTTTCGATTACATTACTACTCGTTACATGTAATTGAAGTTAACGAAACTGATCAATATAAATCAGTTTCACAAACCACTTCAATTATTTTCATCAATAATGTAGATCCTGACAGTCAGGCGTACGGAACTCTTAATTATGCATGTACATTTTAAATTTTTTTGAATGACCCCTGATTATTATCCGAAATTATTGATTTTTTTGTTTCTAAAATAAAGCCCCAATCTATATTGTGTATAACCTCCCCTGACATACCGCCTTTATGATTATGGAAGATCAAACGGGTCAAATTTGATCATTTTAACTGTATACGTCTTCATTCACGATGGTAACGTCAAATCCAATATTTTGTCTTTAAATATGATAAATTTTCACACATGAATCAATATTTTCACTTGAACTTTGAACTTTTCCTCTTAAATATTAATTTTAAAACTTAAAATATTATCCCAAACAAATTCTCAAATATAACTGTATGAAGATAAATTTTCAATTTCGGAAAATCACTTTTAAAAAATATCTCCAGAGGACTCTCCATGAAAAACAGTTAAAGATATATTATGGGAGATTAGATAAAGAGCTGGCAGTTCTCGCTAAAATAGTTAAAAACTAGATAATGTAAAGCCAATTTGCTGAATATTTCAGTCAAATTGATCTACTATGAACCGAGAATTAAGCGATTACAATTTCGGCCTAGCCTCGATCATCATTACTAAAGTCTCGATTATCCATTTCATGATTAAATCATGAAAAAAAGTTGGGCAGAAACTCGGATCATAATCCAATAAATATCGCAGGCTAGCGTTGATATCGAGAATTGATTATGGTCTGGATAAGTTAATTAATGTCTAATTAATAATTTAGATAACATTTCAGGCCTAAAGAAAGACCTGCAATGGGCAGATTTAGCTCTTGCATAATGTATGGTTAACTGAAAGTAGTTGTAGTTTTAGGAATCTAAAGTGTGAGGTTAAACTTGTTTGACTCCCCAAACATATATATATATATATATATATATATTTTATGGTTAACCTCTATAATGAAGAGGATAATTTAAGATATATTAATGGATAGTATGACTCCAAGTTATCATCGTAAACATACTAAAATATGACAACTAATGGTCAACATTGTCGCGTCAACTGATTGAAATGAAGGAAAAGAAAAATCGAACAATCAAGCTATTTAGCTAAGTATTGCTAGCCAAAAAAGTCCATTCACTCATGAAAATCCCGCATAAACTTCGGATCCACGGATATGTCTAGCTGGAAAGAATGTCGCTAAAAACTTTGAGATAAATCTAATGAGTTTGTGTTTAGCTACGATTGGGGTCCTTTGTTTTAACATTGCAAACGTTACTTATTAATGCGTGCTTATTAAAGGGACTATCCCGATTTGGACAGTCTCAAAAATAAAAGTCCGAGTAAGTATGAAAGTTAAGCGCCAAAATATAGAGGAATGGTGTATTTACCTTGTCTCAAAATTTTAGCTAAAAAAATTGAGTCGTTTGAACGTGTACGCCAAAACTGCTTATCCGGACTCGAAACCCTTTTAAGATTTCGGGCCATATTTTTCGTTGGGTGACCTGATAATCGATTCCCGTTCGTTGAGAGATCTATACATTAAATGACCCATGTGCCGTACTTGATAACGAAAGGTAAATTTCACCTACAAATTATTTTTGTAAACGTATCACAAATATTGAGTTAGTTGCTCGGCCCTTTGGTAGAGGATTTTAAGGGATTTTAACACAAAATTAAGCAGTTTTATTCTCCCAAAAATATCGGGATTGGCCCTTTAATATAACGTTATACCAATACCAGTTACACCAGTCTGTCCACAAAACATACGCACCACTTGAATTATAAATAGTTGGGTCTAGCGACGCTTTTCAGTTTCATTTGGCAGATCATTTGACCCCGAAAGGATTACATGCTTAATTGTAGGATTTCAATTATTACAGCTAAGTGATGACGAGATTCGTTTCATTTCATTTTACTCAGTACCCCACGAGAAATCGTTATGATCACGTTACTCCTTCATCAAGTATGTGTCTCGATGCGCTTGGGCAACAGTGTTTATACTCATGCTAATAAATAATGTCATTATACACTCTCTGGGGGTTGGATGGTCGAATGGTTAGCGAGTGCGCGCTAATAAATAATGTCATTATACACTCTCTGGGGGTTGGGTGGTCGAATGGTTAGCGAGTGCGCGCTGTATCATAAAGTCTGCCATTGAGTCAACTTGCGAGGTTTCGATTCCCCGGTTGTACGTAACAAGGAGTAGGGTCGCCTGTCCAACCTCGTGGGTTTGGTCCGGGTCCCCCGGTTTCATCCCACTGCTAAAGATCCCTACGCGCAAGCGAATAAATGATATACAATTGAACCATATGTTAGTTCCGAAATGACCTAGTTTGCGTCGAGTGGTAGTGGTAGCTAACCGTGCGTATGGTTTCGCAAATTGGCAGAACTGGGCGATACTTTGTAATTTTGCTGGTACAGGCGAGACTATAATTACTCATTTATTTACTTTTAAACATTAAAGATACAGTATGTAAGATTTAGTCGATCTTTTTTGCTATAATATTCTGGGCGATTTACGAGTGTTTAAGTTTTGGAAAGACTACCAAGTAACTTTGTCATGATATTAAACGAAATCTCTATTGAGTGACGTTCTTGTTAACTTTAAACGATTATTTGACGCGGGTGGTGTAATCCATCCAATATCTCAGTAATCTAGTGGCATAGAGAATTGATTATGAGCTTACCAAGTAAATAAATGTCTAAATAATAATTTAGATAGTATTTGAAGCCAGAAGGAGATTTTCTTTAGCCCGACTGGTACATTCATTTCATTAAGAGGTTTAGACAGTAATATCGAACATGTAACTTACATTGTGTACAGTTATCGGGACATTATTCAAATA